AAAAATGTTGTGGGAGACCATATCAAAAGCCTTGCTAAAGGCAAAGTATATCATGCTCACTGTGCTCCCTGCATCCACAAAGCCAGTGATTGCATTATAGAAGGCAATCAGGAAGAAACATTCAAACTAATGCTTGGGATCTTATCTTGTCTACACTGGAACCCTGGGGACATTATAAAGATGATACTGGAGACTGTTGGGCTTTGGGGTAGGAAGCTTAACTCTATCAATATCATTCTTGAAACAGCTGAACTAATCGTTCAGAAGGCATGTGGGAGGTTACTTTCCTCTTCAACCTGGTCAGCCTCTCTGCTATCACAGGCAGCAAGAGACTGGTGCCGGAACTAGGTTCTCTCCATAATGCTGCTGAGCCCATCCATTTAGAGCTTCACTGCCTCTGAATCTATGATACAGATGTCACTGACACAGATCTCTGCACTTCTTAGGATTTAGACTATATTTTTCATCTGCATCTTGGAAAAACATCACTGTGATTAAAAATGAGAGGTGGAATTGAATACAACCTAGTTAATGTGACACATTCATAGTTTTATGGTTCATATTTACTTGGCAAATTCATGCATGGTTACAAGCAACTGCATGCACAAAATGAAGGTTATTTGGATACAACAGTGATGGACAAAGCATGGAGTCCTGAATTAAAAAAAAAAAGGAAGTGGCAAGCATAGAACAGGTAATTATACATCCAATTAACTTTTTTTGCAAGCAACTCCATATTTACCTTTTCATCATTTATCTGTTTGCACTCAGGCCCATATTTCACAAGTACAAACGACTGAAATGGTCTAATTTTGAAAATTTGGCCCCAAAGGTCCTTAAAATGTCCAAAAATATATATGATTTGAATTGGACTACAGAAATAATTTTCTCCCTCTTTTGCTAAAATTTCAGCAGTTTCCCAACATCTTCCTTTCTAAATCTGATTGAATAAATACATGGCAGAGGACTTGTTTCTGAAATCCATGGTTCAGTTGCATTTGTATGAGTAAATAGATTATGTCATTAGTATGAAGAAAGAAGAAGGTTATATTAAATTATTGCCTTCTAGAATACTTATTTCCGGTGAATGTCCAAAAATTCATTGAATGCACCATTTCTACTACTTACAAAAGCGGGAAACCAGATGCAGTTCTACTTGCGATGATTCCCTTACCTTTGATATTAAGAATAAAGCTGAAAAAAACCAATAACAGCTTAGTACATGTTTTAGTGATTAACCCGTAGGAAGCATGATAAATCACTGTTTTACCCTCACTGTCACAGCATTCTAAGATTGAAGGATCTTCACGAATTACTGCAGTCAGAGTGTTAATATCACCATTCGCTGCTGCTTGGTAAACCACAGTCAGGTCAATTTCTTCTACTGCATCACCTACAGAGATAGATACATATAAGTGATAATGTAGAAAAATTACAACAGGAGAACAGTGAAAATACTGCTATTTATTTTCAGGAGCTTGTGACTATAGAACACATGTGTAGTGTAACAAAACAGATCCAGTCAATATGATGTGGCATTTGTTCACTTGAACCATATTTTTTGCTGCCAAGAAACATCCTCCTATGAATTCACAGGCAGAATGACTGAGCTATGCAGACATAAACTCAGGACTAACTTCTGACTTGCATAGAAAACCATATTAATGGCACAGAAGGGAATGAGAGTGAGTGAGAAAAAACTTTTTTTCACCATAAAGTCATAAAAAAACAAACCAACCCCTGAATAGTGAAGTAAGGGTTTAAAGGGAGGCAAAAGAGCCAAGAAACCCTCTTGGCTAAACAGGGAAAGCCAAGAGAGCCAAAGGAGAAACAGGGAGGCATACAGACTGTGGAAGCAGGGGGTAACCACCATGGAGGAGTATACCTGTTTGGCTCGCACTTGCAGGGAGTCAGAAAGGCCAAAACAGATATGGAACTCAGGCTGGCTACAAATATTAAAGGCAACAAAAAGTCCTTCTTTAGGTACATAGGGAGTAAAAAGAAGGTGCATGGAAGCATAGGACCGCCTACATGACAAACTAGGGCAATTGGTAACAGATAGGAGGGACAAGGCTGAGCTCCTAAACGAGTGCTTTGCATCTGTATTCCTAAACACAGAGAAAGACATATCTCCCAAAGGGGCTATAGACAGGCACAAGAGGGACTCCAGCCCACCAACAGTTAGCACTGACCTAGTGAAGGAGCATTTGGAGGGGCTGGACTTGTTTAAGTCATCAGGCCCAGATGATCTTCATCCAAGGGTGCTGAAGGAATTGGCCAGTGTCATTGCAGAACCACTGGCAAGGTTGTTTGAGCACTCATGGTGCTCAGGATGGGTCCAAGAGGACTGGAAAAGGGCTAATGTGGCCCTACTTTCAAGAAGGGGAGGAAGAAGGATCCAGATAATTATAGGCCGGTTAGTCTCACTTCTATCCTTGGGAAAACCTTTGGAAAAATTATCAAGGATCACATTTGTGGGTGCCCAGCAGGAAAAATAATGCTGAAAGGCAACTAGCACGGGTTCATAGCAGGTAGATCCTGCCTGACTAACCTTGTTTCTTTTTGTGAATGGGTCACACAATGCTTAGATGCAGGAGTTGAGGTAGATGTCATCTACTTGGATTTTAAAAAGGCCTTTGAGACAGTGTCACATCCCATTCTTATAAACAAATTAGGTGATTGTGGCGTAGATTCCTATATGGTCAGGTAGGTGGAGAATTGGGTTATGGGGCACACACCGAGGGTGGTGGTGGATGGGTCATTTTCAGGCTGGGAGGTGACTTTTTAAGCAGTACAGCAGCAGAAAGGGATCTCAGAGTCATAGTTGACTCCAAAATGAACATGAGTCATCAATGTGACGAAGTGATAAGTAAAGCCAACTTCACTCTTTCATGCATTAGAAGGTGCATCATGAGCTGGTCTAGGGAGGTGATGCTTCCCCTCTATGCGGTATTGGTAAGACCGCAGCTGGAGTACTGCATCCAGTTCTAGGCACTGCACTTCAAGAGGGGTGTGGATAACCTTGAGAAGGTTCAAAGGAGGGCTACTCATATGGTTATGGGCCTACAGGTTAGATCCTACGAGGAGAGATTGAAGGACCTGAATCTCTTCAGCCTCTGCAAAAGAAGGCTGAGAGAGGATCTTGTAGCCGTCTACAAATTCATCAGGGGGAGCAGCAAGAAATAGGGGATAGTCTGTTTAGCAGGGTGCCCCTTGTGGTTACTAGGAACAATGGCCATAAACTGATAGACAGCAGATTTGGATTAGACATTAGGGAAAATGTATTTATGGTGAGTGTAACAGGGTCTCCATTGAGGCCTTGTCGCTATGGACAGGCGACAAGGCAGGTGGAAGTAATTACCCCACAAGGAGGGTGGGCCCTGGCCCTTAAGGAGCCAATGGTGACCAGACTCTGGGGGATAAGAAGAAGGGAAGGAGAAGGAGGGACGCCTTCAGGCATCATGAGAAAAGAGGAAACAAAACGGCGGGGGCGAGGCTCCAGAAAGGAAGATTGGGAAGAAGGAAGCTCAGGATCTGACCCAGCTTGAACTTAACCAGAGGCTACCAGGACGATGGTGAGTGCTGGGTGAAGGGGAGCCGAGCCGCAGGCTGGAGCCCTAGTTAGCACGAAGAAACGGGCCGTCTACATAAAGTTGATGACGGTGGAAGCAACGACTCCTGCCCCTGCCCTCTAGAAAGTGGAGGAAACACTAAGGATAGAGAGGGCCAGCTTGAGTGGGAAGGAACCGCGGAGCCTACACGCCGGCTCTGTTGAGAAAAGCCGCAGGCAGCAGCTATAACAAGCCACTAATTGAATAATTAGCAGCAATGACGGGACTGATGGCAGCCATAACAAGCTGCTAATAGGTTAAATAGCAAGAGGCGGTGCAGCCTCCATTTACTATAGCAGTAGAACGGGGGCTGGCCAGGAGGCTGGAGACCCCAAGATTCATCCATTGGACTGCAATCTCCCACAAGGGGAGTTTCCTGTTAACAACAGAGGGCCATTGAATAGAAGCACTAAAATTAAGTTTTATTCAGCATGGTACTTCCTGTGGGTACTTCCTTAGATAACAACCACTTCCTCCCTATTTCATTTCTTCAAGATCCAAGTCGTGGCAGGCGGGAATTACAAGGATTCAGGGGGTACTTGGCAGACCCGCTGACAGTGAGGGTTGCCAAAATCTGGAATGTGCTTCCAAGGGAGGTGGTGCTTTCCCCTACTTTGGAGGTCTTTAAGAGGAGACTAGACAAGCACCTAACTGGGGTCATCTAACCCCAGACCTCTTTCCTGCCCAGGGCAGGGGGTTGGATTTAATGATCTACTAAGGTCTCTTCCCACCCTAAAAGTCTATGAAATCTATGAATTATCTCAAAGCATTATCAGCAATAACACCGTGATAATGCTTAATTTAAGGATACAGGTATTTCCAGTTTCTTTCTTACAGGAGAGGCAAAGATTTGGCACTTCCTTCCTCTGGAACAATTATGTATCTCCTTTGAGGAATGATGGTGGATACCAGCAAAGACTTCTTGCTGTCTCTTGACATTCTGCAGTGGTTATTTAAACCAGAAGCAGCACTTGATACGTGATCTTGATGATGCTTTGCTAATTGAAATGTATGATAGTCTAGTTTAAGGATGGTGGTGAGGTGGCTGGTGGAGAAAGCAGTGGAACTGCTAGCTCCTGCTGCTTTGAGGCTGCTTTGTGCCATAATGGCACATGGTAGTTTGACTGGGTTCAAGAATTCAACCCCATACCTGCACAATTTAGAGGGATTTTGTTAAGCACATTAAAATCCTTATGCAAAGGCAGCCAGAAGAACTGTTGCTTACATAAAAGACAACAGAAAAGGCCCAGAATGCTGGTTGATTTGATCAAGGCCAGAGAGTGAATCAGGTTCAGTGGTAATGAAACTTGAGCCTGTCCACAAGTAATTCCTATAAACAAATTATATCTCTGAGCATTTCTGAGGCTTTAATGGATGCTTCTTGAAGAGGCAGATGGAATGTATTTCCTGGCAGTTTGAATTTTTCTACAATCAACAAATCTGCCTTTAGAAAGAATGCTCTGTCTAAATGTTGCTACAGGAGTATTTGCAATACCTAAATAATTATTCACGTAAAATAGTGACTGTTAATGTCATTGACACTTTAGATTGTACTCCTATTATTTAGTGAATTTGCATGTTTACTGTTACGTTTTTATAGGGTATTTTGTATTTTAGAAAAATTGCTAGGATGTCAAAATGATTATTTTTCTAGCTTTAACAATACATTGTTATGTTGAATTCTTAACATATTTTCAGTTTTAGTCTCTGTTTTAAGCTGCCAGTAGCACCAAAACAACAGAGGATGCTTCAGAGTTTCCTTTACAACACCCTGTCATTTCGTGTCACAGTGCTGCAGTTGAATCAATATTTTCTTCATCTTCATTTCCTCTCTAGTTAGTTTGTAAACTCAGCTCTAATTAGTATTAGGCCAGAAACTTCAAATTGAGCTGTTTTTACAAAACCAAAGGAAAAAAAAATCCATGTAAGCATGTCTTACTGAATTTGCTCTCCATTACAGTTCAAATATTCTCAGAATAGAGACAGTCAAAATGCCAAAGGCTGAATCAATTCAATCTTTGCCGATTAGTCTAAACTGCATAGATTGAATTGATAAGCAAGTGAACAGACTTTAATTCCAGAAATGCAGTCTCATGCTTGCAGTGGCCTAGGCCAGAAGCCAGGGGGTGCTAGAGCATGCCTCCCTGCTCTGTTGGAGCAGACAGTTTGGGCCATGGCTAGTCTGCCCACCTTGCAAAGGGGGGTTTGCAGGGGATGTGCAGAGCATCCTGGGATGTTGGGGGACGGTGAATTAACTTGAATCAGGAGGGGATCTGGCACAGGAGTTCAATAAACTGATTTAGCCTAAATCAGTTAGGTGTGATAATACACTCATTCAGTTTTATCTTAAATTGGTTTTTGTTTTGAAAGCATTTTATGTGCACTGAACTGTTGTGTTACAAATTGGAACCAGTTTCTGGTCACTTATACTAGTTTATCTGTAATTTCTGTCTCTAGCCATGAAGTCCAAACTCATCTTCTTCATCATGTCTGTGCTCATTAGCACAGAAATGAACAATAAGATAACATTTATCATCTCAAACTTTCTTGCTACTCTTAAGATTCTTTCCTCTAGACTTCTTAGCTAAAACATTTAATCTTCTGTTTAGAGAAGCCCCTCCCAGTTCCCTTATGCTGAGCTATGGTGACAGGCCATCTCTGGCAGTGAATCAACAAAACACACAACCTTTTCCCCGAAAGAGTGCACCTACTACTATGGTGCGAATGTTGCCTATTAACCCTGGTCTTTAATTGCAAAGAAATGTAAGTTTCAGTTTTCTTTCCTCAAAAGCGGACACGGTAATGTAAATTGACTAAGAGCTACACTAAGGCCTGGGAGTGTGATTGGGACCAGACCCTTAATTCTTTGGAGTGAAATTTATCAGCCCTCCTGGACTACATTGTGAACAGAAGACGGCAACATTTTAAGTAATATTGATGGCAGAGATCTGATTAAAGACAGAGCCTCTCAGTTAAAGGGGTCATTTGTGTATGTACTGCATAATGTTTTTGATAACTTAATTACACGGGAAAATTAATTATAGGAAAAAAGAGAAGCTCTTCCCAAACAGTTTTCTAGACTACAATTCAAATTGTTTCCTGACACAAATTTTCCTTCTGATATTGTATTGCTGCATAATGATATAGCTCACAAAAGTATTTAAAAAGTATTTGACATAGAAGTCCAACCCCTGATCCTCTGTGGGCTCAGAGCAGTTCACATTAATTCCACATTACAATTTAAAATCCATTGTAATTCCACACTTATGACCTTCTCTCCCTAGGACACCATCATCATTCCTAGCTTTAAAACTCAGCTACCATGGAAACGGAATCAGCTCTCACCATGAAAAGGTTAGCTTGTCACACAGTTGTGATTATAGGCTGGTTAGAGATAGAAAGCTGACATTAAATCTATCTCCAAGAATACAGAAACTCCCACTCCATTACTGGTAAATTAAAATCAAACCACAGGCTTTCTTTCAGTTAGCCTCTTACATGGCACATTTAAAATAATTTATAAATTAAACATGATAAGTTTACTTTCAAATCAGCTAGTACTAGGAGTGGATTGCACACAAATTTTGGTAGTTAGATACTGAGTCTTTGACCTGCAGGTCACTCGCTTCAAGAGATCTAGGCTAAGTAAGAAAAGGCCATTACTAACTATGGGATGGTCAGCATATAAAATATGTTCAGGGTTCCACTGTAGTGTTTGGTAGATCTCTACATGACTGTATGCAAATCGCCGCTGCAACTGTAGATCTCAGCAAAACAGGCAGGTTGGGAGTAATTTCTAACTCATAGGGATAGATTCTGGATTAAGTATGTGGCACATTGGCAGGGCAGAGGGGTTAGACTTGCATTACTCTTTCCCATGTGCTAGCTGTTTTGCAGGTAAACTGAGGACTTCACCAAGGAGTGCTGCTATGGCAGGGACAGGCAATCATTTTGGGTGGAGGGCTGCTTAATGAGTTTTGGTGAGCTGTCAAGGGTCACAAGAGTAGCCTCACCCCTTGATAGGTACCCAACCCCTTGGTTGCCATATTGTGACCAGAAGTCCTGCCCCCTAACCCCTGAACTTTGCCACTGGAAGTCTTTCCCCTTGCCCCCAGAAATACTCCTTTTGGGAAGAGGGTTTGCCATCTTGGAACTGGAAAAAAACATTATATACTAAAAATCAAACACTGACAATAACATATTTTAATTTTATTTTAAAAAAATATTTTTGTCCTGATTTGTGTGTGTTTGTGTAGTGCAGGGGTGGGCAATGTTTTTTGGACAGTGTGCCAAAAACCCCCACAATGCCTACCTTGGAAGGTGCTTGAGATGTATCTGTGGATGCATGACAAGGTATGGTTGGCCTTCCTGACTGCATCCCCACACTTCAGGCCCATGTTCATTTTGGCATCAATAATGACTCCAAGATCCTTTTCTGCCTCTGCACTGATAAGAAGGGAGTTCCCCAGCCTATAGGTATGGTGCTGGTTCTTCCTCCCCAGATGCATCACCTTGCACTTGCCAGTGTTGAAACCCATCCTGTTCTCATCCGCCCACCCCTGTAACCTGTCTAGGTCCGATTGCAGCCTATTCCTCCCTTCTAGTGTGCCCACTTCTCCCCACATCTTAGTGTCATTTGTGAATTTGAACAAGGTGCTTTTTACCCTCCCCGTCCAAGTCACTGATGAAGATGTTGAACAGTGCGGGCCCCAGGACCGAGCCCTGGGGGACCCCACTGCCCACATCCCTCCAGGTCAGACATGACCCGTCCACCACTGCTCTCTGGGTGCGGCCTCCAGCCAGTTGGCGACACATCTGACTGTGTGGGTGTCTACGCCACAGCCCCCAGTTTCTTAATGAGAACGGGGTGAGAGACAGTGTCAAAAGCCTCCCGAAAGTCCAGGAAGACGATGTCCACTGCTACCCCT